GTTAATATAATAATAGAGAAACATTTCGGGAACGGCTTTGCCGTGCCCTATGTACACAAAATACAGCGATCCGTCCCAGCGCTACACTTGCATCTACGCTTCTTGCATCTTGACGGCTGTCGCAATTTAACACACATCACTTCATTTTATTAGTTTTTACGCAGTCTTCAACTCAAAAATCACTCACAAATTGCAAATTAACACAATTTAAACTGATTTTTCACTTATAATTCATATTTCTCTTTCGCTGATTTGTAAACAAAGGTTTATTTACAAGTTACCACAACTGTCAAAATCGGCAAAACCAAAGTAGCGGTACCACTGACGGCGCCACCTTTGTTCGCTGCACCGTGATGCCAGTGAAGATGCTGATAAAAGAACACAAAAACTTGACAGCCCTGGCGCAGGGCAGAATAAATGCAACATTATTTCGAGAAAAGAAAACGCTATAAGTATGCTGCAGGTGGTGATGGCGATTTTTGTTTAACGTTTCGATTCACAAGCAATCCCGGTACAGCATTCAAGCACGTCGAACATTAGCTCTGATCCAGTACTCCATGCACTTACAGGATTTTACACGAACTTGCAGGAAGTTGCAGGAAAAATGTTCCCGTAGTCCAAAATCCTCCGAAATCCTGTAAATGAGAGCGACTTTTGGAGAGTTGTGTAGAGAATGAAGTTGCAAGATTTTACCCGAACTTTTTCTTCTGAAAAGTGTCAAGCAATCACTGGTTGACGTTTTTACAGAAAAAATTTTTTTTTTTCTCGTACTTTTTGTTGTTACTCACTTTTTACTCTCACTTCAGAGAGGAATTTTGCTGTTTGACAGTTTTACAGGATTTTTCACGAAAAGTATTGGATCAGAGCTATTTTGTCTCGCTAGCACCTTGAGACTACACTTTAAATACCTAGCGGTCAAACTGAGCGCGTAAATTGAATAATTCGTTCGTTCATAAGATGCTCTACGAAATAGCAAAATAACGCACTGTATTGTACCACAAGAGCAATATATTTACCGGTCCTTAATTTTACGGGTGACTTGCAGAATTGGTCGTTTTGCAAATATTGAAAATATAAGAATTTTCGTGAAGGTTTACGACGTATAAATCTCAAAAAAAATTTCGTTTTTAATGAAAAATTTATTGTGGAAAACCAACAAAAAATGGTAGTGATTGCTATTTTGGAAATCACCACATTTCTTCATCAGACTTCTTTCAGTATCAGTTCTTCAGATCTCACTGACTCAGCCAGTTGTCTACGCACTGTGCTAAGTTCGCCTTGTAAATTATTGCTGCTTTTTTCCCACTTTTTCATTTGTTAAGCCAACACATTCAAGCGCAGCTATTCCGCTGCAGTTTACACTTGATCGTGTGGTTGTAGGTTTTTGTTAATAATTCTATTTTTCGAATGTTTAACTTTTAGGTGTGCTCGTCCTTAAGTTATTTGTTTTTGTTATTTTATGGCCTTATAACAATTATATTCAACAATTTTTATTGAGCTTGAGGCCGTTTTTAGTGAATAACTTATTGTGGAAAAGCAACAATAATTTGAAAAAATGGTAGAAGTTATAGCTATTTCGGAAATCACAACATTTCCTCATCAGACATCTTTCAGTAGGAGTCGAACCGAAGATCTCACTAACCCAGCCAGTTGCCTATGCACTGTGCTAAGTGCGCCTTGTTTTCTTTTTTTTACAAAAAATTATTATTGAATCATGAGGTATGGTAGCATGAAATGTCACAATCTGCTTAACTGCCAGGTAGTTAATATGGCGCCCGAAAAGTGACAATGGAACTACCTTCATTTTTATATCATGAATATACAAATTTCGATTACGTGCCCGTATATTCCGTTCCGCAACAATCGTAAATTGGTATTCTGAGTGACGATCGAATCGAAAGAGGAAGAGGAAGAGCGAAAACATCTTCGAAATCAGCTGGTTGCCTAGGAATGTGTGAAATCGGAATAAAACAAAAGAAATATTTGCCACCAAACTATAGCAGCTTATGAAGTTAAAATTTATAAATATTTTAAAACAACTAATATATCTAACATCATTGTGATTTCAAAATTAATTTAAGTGAAAACATAATTATAAAAATGAAATCCATAGTCGCGGCGTAATTGCTTGAAGAGGAGAACGAGTCCCAGATTGCTGATGTGAAAGTTGAAAGGCGGAGATTTAGGGACATGTTTGATCTTTTTTCAGATGAGTGAAGAATCATAAGAAATTCATCTTGAACTGCATTACTCATCGCTCAAAGCTAGTGAAATTATAAACGTTGTTTGAGCACTCCACAACATTTGCATCACTACAGAGCAGAATATTTGAACGCAAATGAATTCGATTTTGCAAGCCGTCAGGGGAGGGAAAGAACAAAGCTCATCCTTCCATAGCAAATCGAATTCGAGACTACATACGCACCTCTTTTTAAAAAGATAGTAAAAACGAGTGCAATAATTAATACATATTTTTTATGTCATTCCTGATTTTTGTATTTATGTATGTATTTATGTACTTACATATATCTATTGATTTTATATAAAAGGATAAATTGTATTCAGTGCATTTCAAAGACTTCTTCTTTGAAAACTCCGCGCAATATCCCTTTTGGTTATCATTATTTGAGCCAACTTTTCGGAAAATTCATTTATGATGACTTTTACAATAATGCTCAGTATATTTTACTTGAGCTTATTCATAAAATTTTATTATATAAGCCCACGAAAATAACAATCGAAACATTCTTCGTCAACAAATTTGCAACTTAGAAAAACCGAACTACGATCGAAATGTAGACTAGGTATAATCGTAAAATTCGAAGGTTGATCGAAACGAAACGGAACGCAGAATACCAAAGTTGCCGAACGGAGAAAATTTCGATTCGAGTCGAAATGCAGAATAGGGCCGATGAATAACGTTTAGTTTCGGAGTTGCTCCGATTTCCTCAAAAATTTACAACAAACAAAAAAATCAATGATAGTGCTATCGACTTATGTATCGGGTTATTTTTTATTAAGGGTATTCATCAAACCTTATAAAAGCATTGTAAACCGTATAACTTATAAGTGGTATTCATCTAAACCGATAACTTTATCAAGCAGATAATCTTATAAGTTTACGCACTCTGTTACATGAACGACCCACACTCTCTTTTCGTTTACACATGCGACAATAGTCGTGTTTTCTTTGGTTATAGAGCTCAGTATCACTAACTTTATACTACTAGCACGAGGATAAAGAAATTATAGAAACTAACTCACTAAATGGGAAAAAATTATATTTACGAGATAATAATATCTATTTAAATAAATATACATATAACATAAAAGCTATTTATTTGAAGCAAGTTAAAAGAAACAATGGTAGAATGTCTGTTTGTGTATGAATTCATTTGTCACGGCTACCAAACTTTGCGGCCGAATTATCAGTGAAACAAAACAAAAAGAACGGATAATAATTGAAACAGTTCTCTATCAGGATCACATCGTTGTTGTTTTTATGCGGATCCCGATTATTGCCCAAGAAAACATAGCTAGAGTTGCGACAGAGTTGCATAGACTTCAGTTTAGCAAGTTTATTCAGTGATTTCGCTGGAGAAATTTATCAGAAATGTATAAACGAGTTTCAATACAAATTTTGACAGTTCATTTATAAGGTTTACTCAATTATAAGTTTTTACAATGCATTTATGAGGTTTGATGAATACCCTTAGTGATAGTCATTTGATTGATCCTGTGATACTAGGAATGCAAACGATGCATTGTTGATCTTAAATTTTCGATGTTTGCCATCGATGTTTACAATTTACTAACATCGCGAAATTGACGATACATCGATGGAAGTTTTACCGATGTTTTAAACATGGACGTTAAGGAGACTCTCCGACTTTCTTACGGTATGTTTGACTGACCTTAAATTTATTATTCATTCAGAATTTTTTTGTTATTTATGGCCTTATAACAATTATATTCGACAATTTTATTGAGCTTGAGGCCGTTTCTTATGAAAAATGTTATTGAAAATCAACAATAATTTACAAAAAGTAGACGTTATAGCTGCTACTTCGGAGATCACCACATTCTCCTCAGTGACCGCGGTTGAAGAAGTCTGATTAGTAGATGTAGTGATCTCCCAAATAGCAGCTATAGCTTCTTACCTTTGTAAATTACTGTTGCTTTTCCACATAAAAACGGCCCAAGTTCAATAAAATTGTTGGATTCATTCTGAATCTAATAACCTAGCCGTTAAGACAGAACAGTCTAGCTCAGGCAATTGCCGCGTTAAGACCTGCTTGTTCCCGCGATCATTGATTGACTGAATACGGTTTAACTCATTTTCTCTCTTGCTACGTAATTATAATATAGTACTGTATAAGTGCATATACACATATACACATATTGCAAAATTCAAAAATTCTGATTAGTACAAGGTGAAATGAATGGGGTTCACCCCCCCAACAGGAATAGGTTGCGAGACCTTGATCCCGATGTAAACATCTCTGGCAAAAAGACTCACGGTAAACGACTAATAATAATAATAAGGGTATTCATCAAACCTTATAAATGCATTGTAAACCGTATAAACTTATAATTGTGTAAACCTTATAAATGAACTGTCAAAATTTGTATGGAAACTCGTTTACATTTCTGATAAATTTATCCAGCGATTTCACTGAATAAACTTGATAAACTGAAGACAATGCAACTCTGTCGCAACTCTAGCTATGTTTTCTTAGGCAATAATCGGGACCCGCATACAAATTTTGCACGCAAAT